TTTTTTCAAGCATAGATTTTGCTCGATTTGTTGAATATGTTATATTAGCATTTGGATGAAGACCAAATATTTGTGGTGGATCAATTAATGGAAGTTTATCAATATAATCAATATATTCATCAAGACGTTTTACTTTTGGAATTGAATAATTATCATAAAATTTAAAATTCGACGAAAGTAATAAATCAGAAAACCATTTCTATAGGAATGAGTTTAATCTTAGAATAATTATCATTAAATCACATACTTTTGCATAGGTGATCATTAAACGACGATCACGATCATCAGTTATTCTACCACCATATTGAATTTCGGAGATCATATATCGAAGTGCTTTCCATGAAATACCCTATGATAAAAAATTAAATTTAAAATAGAAATAAGACCTATAGAAAAATATCCTACTGTTTTTGGATTCATATCATCTAAATGATTTTGAATATATTGTACAGATGCTTCCCAATCAGTCTGATTGAATTCTAGAAAAAAAATATATTCTAATCTTATGAGATAAAATAAATATTATTTACCATATGGGATATTCCATCCTAATGGACCAAATTTCCGACGTTCCTGTAAAAACATATGTCTTAGTTTTCAAAAACGATTGATCGTTTTTTTTTCATCAAATATACTTGTACAATACTATGAAGAAATGAAATGGCATATAGTAGAGGACACCAATATATATTTTCAATATATTCTAATTTATCTTGAGTAATTAAACCATAAGTACGTTTAAGACCAGCTCGTACACCTTGTGGTGGTTCATTAGTAAATTTAATTGATGATTGAAGAATTTGAATTGGAAATTGTGGATGAGTTTCTGTTGTTAACCAACTAAATAAAGCATCAACTTCTTTTCCACGAAGACAATTCTATAAAACTAATACATACACACGAAATGAAGGTTCAAATATTTCTGTTGCAATAAGAGCTAAAAATAATCCTTAAGAGATGCCTTAGATAATGAAATAAATACTTTACTTTCATAAAATTCTTCAAGATAATCTAAACCTAAATGTGCATTCTGTAATAAAAGCCATCCACCTAATGTAATTGTTTGTTGAAGATAACGTCTAGCAAGTATTTCTTGTCCTTGTCCCATGGATACAATAAATAAATCGATATTTTTCTTTTTTGCTAATACTTGAATATTTGATGTTGGATCAGCACCTGATGAAAGTAAACCAAGTAATGGTGTTTTAAAATCACTTTCTTCCCATATTAATTCTAAATTTAATACAGGAATTTCTGAATATTTTATTCCAAGACTATCTTGAATATAATTTCGTGCTTCGGATATTGTTCGATCGGGTGATATACATCGTGCAAATAAAAAACGATGAAAGATATTTAAATTTTCATATGTTTCAGGTAACGATGATAAATCAGTGGATTCTTTATCGAACCAATCTTTGAATGCACGTTCATTCTTTTGTAACTATAAGAAAGAAAGAAAACATTCATAAAATATATTACAGGACAATACATACTCGATCAATAACATCATGAAATTCTTTTACACGACTTAATTCAAGTAAATTAAGCCATGATAAATCATTTAACCAACGAAATGGTTTTGATGGACATGTATTTAAATCTAATGAAGCACCACCTTTAATTAATACTTCAAATTCATCATGACGTATTTTTCCTCGACGTAAATCAATTCTCAATGCCATAAGTAATGTAAACATAAGTCTATCTTCTTCATATAAACCACGTGTTGTATAAAACCATGTTCGATATGTTAAATAATCATTTATATTTTGAATACGTTTTTGTATTGCAGCAATTTTATTTGATCTTTATAAAACAAAGCGAAAATTTTTCATAAAAATAAAATCCAAAATACTTTAACATTGATTCATGAAAAAGACTAAGAAATTGTTGTAATGATATTTGATACATATGATTAACAAGCTTTTTAAAAAATAAAAATATTAGTTTGAAAAAAATAAACTTTTTGTAATTTTTATACTGTAATTTCTGACATAAGAAAATAAATAATAGAGCCTCGAATAGCAACAGGACGATATTCTTCTCTTGCTGTACTAATTTTTGATTTTGTTTCTTCAGCAATCGCAACTTTTTCTTTAACTTCAATAGCAATTCGTTTATTTGCATTAAGTACTTCGACAAGAGATGGATCATCAAGTACTGAACCCTAATTATTTATTTTATTGAAATAATTAATAAGAAAAAAAAAGAATTGTTTACTTCAATACTTGTTAGTTTAACTAATAAATTTTCTTCAAGTTCTTTTAACATTCGTTTATTTTTTGTTGTTTCACGTGCTAATGTTACACGTTCACGTTCAAGTTCCTAATTAAATTTGTTTTAGATTTTATTTTATGATTGATATTAAAAAAATACATACAGTACGTTCATTAGCAATAACAAGACTAAGTAATTGATCTTCTAATCCACGTTGTGTTACAGTAAAATCTATGATTGATACTCGTGCACATACTTCGGGAGAATAATTTGGATTAGCTAATTTTGTTGTGAGATATAAACGAAATGTATGATTAATATCCTGAAAGATTTCTTATATTTTCAAGTTTTATTATTGTTAAGACTAACCACTTCACGATCACCGACTTTTACCTATCAATATATATTGTGATTGCATCCTTCGAATAATAAAAAATATACTTACACGTTGAGTAAGACCAATTTTTAGATAATTTTTTTCTAAGATATTATCTAACATTGGATCTAATTCTTCATCAACATCTTCGATTAATAATGGACGACCAAATGAAATAGAATCTTCTATTTGTTGTCGAAATAATTTCGAATTAAATGTTGTTATTAATAGATCATTATCACGTTCCATATTTTTTATCCATGATTTACCTTGTAATTGCCTATAATAATTATATTCATATATATATATAGTAAACAGAAAATCTTTTACGGATCAATTAAAAGTGGATAGCGATAATTTGATGTTGCTATAATACCATTTTGAATTGATAGATCATCATTTGGTAAACCTTGTAAATTCCATTCACCAATCTATAGAGATGAATATCGATGACTAATGCACTAGATTTAAATAGATATCTTACTGTTGCTTCATCATTTAATTGTTCAATAATATTAAAATTATCTGAGAATGGTATTAGCTTTTGTTGTATTTGTTTTTGCCATTCATTTAGCATTCGTTGTCGAAATTCTTGATTAAATGGACCGCAATAGGAAAGAAAAGCCGTAATAAGAATAGCATTTCCTATTAATCTAATATATATCGAATAAATTTTAAGTTAAGATTTTATAAAAAAATGATTTTACTTTTCAATACTCTGTTCAAAAACTTTATTTTGTTCATTCCATCGAACTTTTTCACCTGTTAAACCTGATATTAATGTATTGGCATCATCACGTCGTTTAAGTAAAGCATCATAATCAGTTTGAGAAGCCTAACATGATTCAAGGATATGTTTATAATTGAATAGTATAAATATATATACTTTTTTTGTTTCCATAGCTAAATCAAAATCATGTTGACATTTATTTAATCCAATTTCAGTTCTTTCAAGTTCACGTTCCGCTCGAGCTAATTTTCGTGAAGCTTTTCGAAGTGAATTTTCTGCTTTTTGAACTTTATCCTATTCATATATCGATTAATACGAAAATAATTCTATTATTTTCTATACTTTTATTGGAATAACTTCTTTATTAATTGCATGATATGATTGAATTTTATCTGTCCAAGTTTTTAATGTTGCTAAATCTTTATAAGCTTTACGAGCTTTTTCTGATAGATCTTTTATTTCTGTATAAGGTGCAAGTAATTCAATAATTTCATCATTAAGTTCACGTATAGTTAATAATGTTGATAATAATCCAGAAAAATTTAAAAGTCGTAAAATTTCTGTTTTGGATGAAGCATAAAATGGTTCTTCAAGATTATTATCAATTCGTATTGGATCAAGACGTCTTTTCATTAATATCAATGCCATATCAAGTACAATCATAATAGCTTCAGGAGGTTTTGCTAATTTACGAAGATTACTTATTGTATTTCCTTTAATTTGCTAAAAATTCAACAAATCATAACAAAGTTATGTCGAAACATGAAAATCAGAATTGAGATTATGAACGAGAAAGAGACATTTCGGGTGGGTGTGGGTGTATAAGTTATTCCTCTCTCCTACTACACCCACACCCTGACCAACTTTTTTTACGGACTCCCAGTAAAAGTGGCAAAAAAAAGTCGATTCCGAACTCCTGGACATATTACCAAGTATTCGGGACACCTAGTACGTAATGTCTTTGTCTCTTATGAACCATTGGATGTAAAAATTTGGAATTCATAACCTATTTAATGAACTTGCTATTGAACTCTTTTTTTTATCTTCAATAAAATTCTTCGAAATAAATATATGGTATTGTAATTATGTAAGATGTTTCAAACGTTAGTGTAAGTATATCTTATTTTTAATTTAGTGTAGAATTTTCGCTGCGCAATAACCGATGAGTCAGATTTAATCATTAACAGAACTATGTTTTATTCTAATATCTTCTCCTGAATAACCTTACTCTTTGTATTTCTATTGATTGTTGACTAAAAGAAATCACAAGACAAACATTATTATCTTTATTAACTGCGTTATTTCTTTTCTATTATCGTTGTTATATAAAGCAAGAAAGAATTTTGATAAAAACATTATATTTTAACTACGTTATTTTTATTACAAGAATCAAAAAATGTTGAAACTTATTACGATATTTCTTGCTGCTGTATTAGTTGTTGGCAGTCAGAGTTTAAATATTGGTAAAGTTGGCGGTTATACTGATCATCCTGAATTAATCGAAAATTCAAATATTAAAGCATTAGTTAAATATGCTGCTGAATATTTAGCATCAACTGATAATCTTATTCTTGATGAAATCAAAATTACAGGTGTTCAAACTCAACTCGTTAATGGTATTAATTATAAATTAGAATTTACAGCTCAATCAGTTAATGGTCACAATAAATTAACAACATGTGAAGCTGTTATCTACGAACGATTTGATTCAACACGAAAAATTACAAGTGCTCAATGTAATTAAATATAAACTCTTTTTTTTCTTTTGCATTTTTATTTTGAAATAAATTTTTCTTACTTTAACAGCTTCTTCCGCTTCTTTTAAAATAATTTCAGCAGCTGATAATTCTTCTTGAGCAATAGCTTTTTCTTCATTAACTTGTTTAACAAGTATTTCAGCTGTTTCTTTTGATTCCTGAACTTCTTTAGTTTTCATTTCAGCTGCACTACGTAATATTTCCATTTCAGCCACTTGCTTTATGAAAAAAATTATTTTTAATGTAGCATAACAAGAAATTCAACGTACTTTTTCTGCTTCCATATTGGCAATAGCCATATCTTTTTCTTTAGTAATTAATTCTTGTGTAATCTTTTGAACTTGTTCAGCAGCTTCAAATAATTTTTGAACACCAGTTTTCATTTTTTGTTTTTCTTTTTCGAAATATTCACGTTGCTTTTGATAATATAATTTAAATGCATTTATAAATCTAAATTAAACAGAAAAAAAATTATTTTTCTAAAAATAAATTTTCTTACGAGAGAAATGATTTAGGTGTAACATAGGTTCGTCGTCGAAATTTATCATAATAATTTTCACATATTCGACTAACATCATCATGTATATCGGCCATTATTTCAATAAGATTCTTTTTTATTGTATTTGATGTTACAAGAATATCAAAGCGATTTAAATAAACATTTGATACATCAATAAGAGCATCTAATGGCCAACGATAAAACCTGAATGAATATAGAAATGATTTTTTTCCCTATTAATTTTTGTATACAGACCAATCAATAGTACAACCGGATACTAATGCTGGAAATTTTAATGCACGTTCACGAAATTTTCGATTATCCGGAGAAAAACATAGAACAATATGAAGATTTTTTCGAAGTCTTTCACGATAGTAATTCAATAGATTTTCATTTGTTAATAATCGTTTCGGATATTCTTTTTTCATTTTAACTGATAATTCCGATAAAGTTTCATCCATTTCTTCACGTGTAATTAAACCAGAAACCTTAAAAAAGAAAAATTATTTTCTATATGAAAACAAAAAAAAAGAAAAGTATACTTCTCCAGAACTAAGAACATTATTTAAATATTCAAGAAATTGATCATCTTTTATATCATTATCAGTAAAAATAAATACAATGCCTTGACCGAGACGACCAGCAGATCGATAAATATTTCGTAAATCATCCATAAAATTATTTAATGTATATGTTCTATAGAATAAAGTATTTCGAATGGAAGATTAAATGGTTTTCTTCAATTACCTAGAGACACTTATTTGAAAATATTTGTAACCTAAAAAGAAAACAAAATACGTCAGATTCTATTCGATTCCAGGGGGAACAAACTGATTTCCGGATTTCTTGATTTCTAATTTTATTTTCGTGATTTCTCATGATTTCTTATGATTTCTACTTGATTTCTAGCATGGAAATCAGTTTGTTCCCCCTTGATTCGATTTAAATCATTAATAAAATCGAATCTGAACTGTCCACAAAGTTGTTTAAAAGATATGGTGTCCGTTAAGCGAAAATCATATCTGCGAACGGGTTTTTCAGTAAAAACAAAATGCGCGAAAGTCACAACTAAGGAACACCTTTCGCCTTCACCCTCACTTTTCGTCCATACGCTCATCAAGAAAAATCATCTCACTGAATTGTCTTTCGCTCAGTTGTCCCCATATTGTTTAAAATAGTAGAACTACCTGCAATATAAGATGCTAATTTGGTTAATGATTGTTTTCCACTACCACCAACACCGACCTATCAAAATTTAACTAAGTTATTGCATTATATAATATCAAAAATCTAACCAATAATAAATGTCCTTTTGGCATATTAATAACACGTGAGATCTAAAATCATATAATAAAATTCATGTTTTTTGAAAACAAACATGAAAAATATTTACACGTAATAGATGAATCATAGCATCTTTAAAAAATACCAAATCCATATTACTACCACGAATTTCTTCATTCATTTTATTCATACTAGTTAATAATTTTGTTCGTAATGTTTCCCATGATGAAATAGGTTCATAAACTTTAGGTACTAAATCAGCAAGATCAATATCATCACCCATTTCATCTGTTACTTCGAGTTCTTCACGAAGAAAACTATAAAGATCATAAATTAACTCTATATTTATTAAACAATTATTACTTTGCATAATAAACTTCAGATTCTTCTTGTATTGGAATTTTATAAATATCACCAAAAGTTTGTTTAGCAATTTTAAATTGTTCTTTTCTAAACCATTCTTTTTCCGTATTTAAAATTAATCGATCAGCTAATACTCTTGTACATTCATGTTTCCATAATTGTAAATATTGTTCAATATCATTTTGACATTGTTCAGAATCAATTTGTAATATTCCTTCCCATATACGTGATAAATCTCTTAAATTAAATATATAATGAAATTTTGCTGGTGTTGGAAGAAATTTTCCTTTAATTGTTTGCCAAAGAATTCGTGTTGCTGATATAGATTTTTCAACTATGCTGATAATATCATTAGAAAAATTTCTTTCATTACAAAAATATTTTGCTATGGAACTAAATATATGATCAACAGCATTATTTGATGGTAAAGTACAATTTAAAATAAAAAAATGGCGTTTTAATCTTTCTGATATATCATTTCTACCACCACCTGGATGACACATAGCAGCAAGAAATTGTAAATCAATTATACTAAGAAAATCACCAGGTTTTATTAGAGAATAAAAACCTTTTTGTTCAATAAGTTGTCGAAGAATTTCATTTGCTTCTTGATCACCCCATGAATTTATTATTGGCATATTAATATCATCAATAAATATCGTCATTTTACGTCCAAATGATGGACCAAATGTATTTGCAACACGTTTATCAACAAAATTTTCAATAGTTTTTTGAATAAAATTACTCGTCGTAATAGAAGAAAAATTTATAATACGTGTTAAATGTTGTTCACTATCATAATGTTTTAAATAACTTGTAATAATAACAGTCTTAGCTGTACCAGGTTCACCAATTAATAGTACAGCTTTTTCTTGTTTAGAAAGAATATTTATAAGATATGTAATACGAACATTATCAATGTTTGGAACAAGAATAGATGCAAATTCAATTTTTTCATTTTTAGGATATTCCCATGGTTCAACACGAGTTGACCAGTGTTCTACAGAAGAAAGAAAATACTGTTTACAAGAATTTACATGCTATCCACAAATATGCTTGATATAAGTAACAGATTTCAAATCAAAGATTGTTCAGCAGTTTATATATCATTCCGTGAGAGGTGTGGGCGTTGAAGCATTTCGTAGCTATACCCACACCCACCCTCAAGATGGTCTATAACTATTTATACATATTTTCAAAGAACGGGGGCGTATAAGACTGAAAATCGGCCCACCATGTAAATT